TCGTATACAATGATATAATAATATCATTGGATTCAAATTTAATTCCATCCATTACAGTAACCCACTTGTAACCTAGCTACTATACAGCAGAGCGACATCCACGACTTACCCGCTTTTTTTTTTTTGTGTGTGTGTGTGTTTGCAGACATTTTTTTTAATAGAGAAAATGTTTCAAATTTCAACTTCGAGGTTGGTTTTTGGTAGCAAATTGGATCTAGTTTGTACTTTGGAAGGTAGTAATTTCCATGTACAATACAAKACAAACGAAATAAACAGAAAAACGGGAATATTTTATACAATTATAATGATTTCTACAGTTTAGATTATAATGATTATATTATAGATTGAGATCCTTGATTTTATATATGAGTGTAGTAAATGTAACCGACTGTTGACGATATTCTTTTTTGACTGAAAATTGGRTGGGGGAGCAGTGTCATAACTTTATATTTAACTTCTGAAATCGTTGAGATTGCAGATATTTATTTAAATTGGATGAATWTAAGGTCAGATATATTAAACGTGAACGGTAACCGCGTTGGGTATGTACTACATTATATGTATATAAACATAGATTTATCAGAGATTAATTTTGAATGTTTACTTGAATGGCCAGCTGTTAGTTTTTGAATAGTATAAGTAGAATATATTATGTTTTTATTCTGGTTGAGTCAGCTTAACATTTTGAAATGTCGTCACTCGTCAGYGTGAGTGACCATAGATAAATATTGTAAATGAAAATGAGTAAGTATAATCAATGAAGAGTAATAAAAAAAAACCTTTTCATAATTGTTATGATTTATTTAATAGTAAGTATTATAATTTATAGTTCGAAAACCAATGTTCGTAATAGTACAATTATTTATACGTATCCCATTTAAAATAATATCAGTAAGTCACTTAATTTAATGCCTCTAAGTATTTAAATTTCATTAGCAATAATAATGCTAGTATTGTAAAAACTAAAATCATATTAGTTTTTATCAATTAATAAACTCTGCTTTGAAATTGTTTGATCTTTTACCAAATTCTAAACAGTAAAAAAATAATTTTTTTTCTATAATGGACCGTTTGAAGTACAAAACATTTCTTCTTAATAAGGCTTATTGAGATAATATATAAATATATAATTTTCTATAATATAGTTCATCATAATAATTTAATTTTAACAAAAACAGAGTTGAGAAATAAAACTTTACGTTGAATAAATTACATAATATTTATATTACCATTCCATTCCTATATATAATATTAAACTTAAGTGATTATAGCTGTTAAACTTATAAGTAAGAAAATTATTAAAACTTAAAACTTTGAACATAAAAATTTCAGGAAAAATGTGGACAAAAACTTTAAATAAATAACGAGGAAAAGTTTCTTAATAGATTTTAAATTTCTATAAAAAGAAAAATGAGAGAACTTACACGTAATTTTTTAAAACAGCTTATAAAATAATATTTTTTGTAGGGTTCAA